TATTTCCTCCAGAGTTAGTTTCATTAATTTGTCTTCCAAGGTACTTCTTAGAAGTTGTCAAATTTATTTCAAAACAGATTTTTGTAATATGCTTTCTATATCCTTTTAAATTCTGTAAAATCTGTGATAATGTCTCCTAGATCTTGATATTGTAATTGAAAAAATGTATAATTGAGGGCCAGGGATTTAGCTCAGTGGTTTTGCCTCCTGCTGCACAAGCGCAAGGACCTGAGTTCGATCCCCGGTACCAAAAAAAGAAAAAAAAAGTATAATTGATATTGTGTAACAGGAATAAAAGGTCTAAAGGAGCAGGGGAAATGGGAGGGGTAGGGCAAAGGAAAGAAGGAAAAGAAGGAAAAGAAAGAAAGAAGGGAAAAGAAAACATATGAGAAAAGGAAAAACATGGAAACAAAATCTTTGCAAACAGGGAAGGGTGGAGAGGGTGAAGGGAGGGCAGGGGAAGGGGAAAAAAGTAAGAACCAAGATACTCATGTAATGGTACAAGATCCCAGTGATATATGTAACTTTATTTTATACCTAAAATGTACCAATAAACTTAATGGGGGAACAAAAAGCATATGCCAATAAATAGGACAGAGTATATTCTCACAATGGTTACTTATTTCTAAAGAAACAATATACTGTATGTGCCCATAAATGTTTTACTTACCTGACTTTTTAAAGAAATTTAATTAGTATTAATATAGGGAATAGTGAACAAAAAATCAAGGATACATTCGTATAGCACCTGTTCTTGTCCCAATGGCCAAGATTTTCTGAACTGGATCAAAGGCTAAAGCTGTAGGCTGGTAAGGAAAACCATGCCGAACTGTCTGAAAGAGAGAAAACAGTGCAAATAGTCATCAGGAAAGTAAAAATTAAAATCATAACACAGCTACTAGATGACCAAAGTTATTTCATTGAAAGTATATTACAACTAAATGCTAACAAGGATATGGAGTAACTTAAACTCTCATACGTTGTTGGTGAGAGTCTTAAACATGTCATTTTATAACCACTTTGGAAAGTGTCTTACAGTTTTGTATAAAACTAAAAATATAACTAACCTAGAAATTCCACTCCTATGTCTGCACCTATGAATATTAAAAACATAAGTTTACAAAAATGATTTGCTTTATTATACTTTAATCAGCTTTATTTATAACAGTAAAAAACTGAACATAATCCAAGTGCCCTGCAATGAGAGAATTTTTAAAAACTAGTATAGTTAGTTATACAATGAAATACTTCTTTAAAATTAAGATATAAACTACTGATAGATTAAAAAATGTGATGATTTGCAAAAGCTTGCTAAGGAAAAAAACATAAAAGAGTTCACACACTATGTTCACATTTTGTAATATGCTTTGAATAAGCAAAACTAATCTATAGAGAATAAAATTAGAAAATTAGAATAATAATTACTTTGAGGACAACTGACTGTGAAGGAGTATGAAAATATTTTATTGAGGGGGAAAAATATATACACACACAGAGATATATACATCAACAAAGGTTTGGATTACAAAGGTGTATAAATTAGTCAAAATTCACCATGGCGCAGTAAAATTCGTAATTTTTTTTGAATGTAAACCATACTGCAAATTAAGTAAAGAAAAAGGATTACAAACAAACACTGAACTCTTAATATTTTGCATTCTGCAGTGTTCAAGTATACTGGCATGTGCAACTTAAAAATGCATCTAAAAATAATGTAGACAAGAGGAAAGAATAATAAATATGTGATAAAGTGAATATAGCAAAATGCTAACTGTCAAATCTAGGTGATAATATACATATGATTTTACAATATAAGTTCTTGCAACTTTTCTGTATATTTGAAAGTTTTCATAATAACACAATAAAAAAAGAAAAAGATATAAAAAGTTCATTATCTCATTAATGAGAAAAAACTAACATGAAAAGAGGCAATGTTAGACAAGAATTAACTTCAATTTGAAACATGCTATAATTTTTCAAAGAATAGAAAACAGGTCACAAAAAGAGATTCTATATTTATTTCAGCCAAATTTTTAGTGCTTCAAAAACTGTTTTTCGTAAGCATATCTTAATTAAAATATTGCATTCTCAGTATTTAAAAGCAAAAAGATAAACCACAGTCTGTACTTAACCTAAAACTAATACCTTGAAAAACTATTAGAATTCATCGCATAACTTTATTTTCTTTAAAAGGATACAACAGTATTCACTGAAGGCTAGGGACCCCCCCACACACACACCTATACACCAAGCAGAGCTGCAGGGTATGAGGAATCCAGCAGATGAGCACACAACTAAGGAAACTGCAGAATTCATAAAATGAGGATCTGGTTATATGTTAGTCATTGCCATCTGCCAGTGGGGCTACAAATGATTCACATATACACTCTCTTGTTGGAGCGTTTAAACAGTTCCCATCAGATAACTTTGGACTTTTCTATATTTTGTGTTGTACTGTTTTGGTTTGGCACTGGTTGATTGCTTTTTTTTTTTTTTTTGCTTTGTTTTGTTTTAGGATTTTGTTTGTTTGCTTGGTTGGTTTTTATTTTTGTTAATTTTTTCTTCTATTTGTTTTGACTTGGTTGGTATTTGGGTTGCTACCTTTTCTCGTCTACCCTCAAGAGCCCACAGCAATTCTATTTCCCAATTCTTGTTCAGAAAGAATATTAACAGTATATTAATTTCTCAAGTTCCTAATTTGCCATATTCTGCTCTCTGTCACTATCTTCTCTTGTATCAACAATCCTCACCATATTTTTCCTTTGACTATTCTATATCTTACCTACTCCCTTCTACCCAATTTTTGTCTCCTCTATTGGCATTTTTTAAAAGTTTTAAATAAAATTTTGGTAGAGTTTGGAATTCTATCACACATTTTCTTGTTCAGCTTTTTTTAATATTACTTTGTATTATTTGTTTGATTAAGTCCTCTTTTCTACCCCTCTCTCTTCTTTTCACAGTCTCTTTCAACTTGTTTCCTTATTATTTTACCATTTTTTCCCTCTAGTCCAGTGATTTCAAACCTCTTAGAGCTTTCAATGATACAAATAGCAGACTGTGGCATAAATGTTACCACTACTCTAGTCTAACCTTGATTCCTTTTTATTTATCCTTTACCTTCTAAGTTTTGTCTATTACTGTTATTTTATACTATTAATTTTCTTTTACTCCTTAATAGGACATTTTATATAAGTGTTATCACCTTTTTCTCATCTTCCATTGCTTCATTTTAATTCTATTTTTTATCCTCCCATTCTCCACAACTGCTAATCTTACTGCAGTAGTATAACCACTACTCCTTATGAATCTCTAGTTAAATATATCTTACTATAGTTGAACACTGTTCTATTGTTAATACAGGTAAAATTGCTCTACTGGGTAGATATTTACTATATATTAATATCAAGTTTGTCTTTTAGAGAGGAATTGCTGCCACTACTGTTTAAACTCTTCAATGAAATTGAAAGGGAAGCAATACTCCCAAATTCATTCCTGGAAGCAAGTATCACCTTGATCCCCAAAGCAGAGAAAGA